CCCTCACGCCCCGCCCGCCAATGGGAGGCCGGCCAGGCACTGTCGGGAGCGCCGTCTTCAAAATAAAACGCACAACTGGGCCCAAAAGGAGCCGACTTACCGAAATCTCTGGCTCTGGGTAGCGCTTTCCATCAGGTAGGAGGGCGCTGGTGGCATTGCCGTAGGATTGCCGGGCACAGACCCTGAGCTCTGGAAGGGCTTGGAGAGCGAACCGGGCAAGTACCGTAAAACCTGCACGACAAAGCCTGAACCAAGCCAGCTGAAACGTCTGCATCTTCCATTTTCCCACTGCTAAAATAAACGTCTCTCCAGCTCCTAGCATTTTAACTCAGAACCCAGTGAGCTTCAAACAGCTACAGATTGCTCTGCAGAAGGAATACTTTCATGTCACTGTGAAACAGAGCACAAATTTGCTGCACATGCAGGAGGTCTCTGGCAGGTTCAGGTCTCAGGTCCACTTCCATCCATGGACTACTTTAAGCAGCCAAATGAAGGGAAATAAAAATGTTCCTGCACTACAATCACTGGTATATCGAAGCAGAGTTGAGGCCAGACATCACTATTTTATTAGCTGTGATTTGGCTACATGATGCATTGATCAAGTCTGCCATAGCTCAGGAAAGACTTGTAGAAAGAAAAAGAAAACCTCTCCTGGGTAGAGTGATGAGAAAGATGTCAATGGGAAAACAAAAAAGAACTTCAAGCAGTCTACGACCCCTGCAGCTACAGAGAGGAGAAAGCAGGGATTCTGCAGCTTGAAGGGGAGGAGCAGGAAATTCTGTATACCGAGAGGATACAGAGACCAGTAGGACATGCCTTTTAAAAAAATACACCCTGAAAAGCCTTGTTGTGACTGTGATGGGAAAGGTCCATCGATATTGGCCTTTTGTCTAGCAAATGCTTTAAGAAAAGTAACAAAGTTGTTAACAGAAGTATTTATTAAATAAATTGCACAAAAGAAATTAATCCACTTAAAAGAGCACAGGCACAAAAGTTGTTCAGACACTGCAGAAGTAGAAAGCCACGGTAGTCTTTGTTTTCTATTTGTTTTTAAGGTAACTGTGCTTATCTGTACACCACAGTGTAATATGTTTCATGTTTTACAGGTAACTGTTACTCACTCAGGAGAGTGTGCATTTTCCTAGTTATTACAATATATCCCCTTGAAAACAACTGAAAGAAGCTATTTATTGAGAAGATTACAAAGCAGACCATGCTTGAGGAACACAAAGAATGTCACTGAATTTTAACATTACCACATATAAGTGGAGCAAAACCTCTCTCTTCGTCACAGTTAACTAAAGGAGAAGAAATCAAGGACATTAAACACTTTCACTAGGATTCAGCCATTTAAAACCAACAACTGACATACAAAATTCAAAGGAAGTCTTAGTCTGCTAAGAAATTTATTTCTAATTCATGTTTCCAAAGGATACAAATAAAAAGACCTCAAGTAGAACAAAATTTAAGAAATTGTTCAGGTTGAAGATTCAATCTTTATTTTCAAGGAATGTAGTTCACAGGTTTTTATTTCTGTGCCTCTGACAAGAAATAAGAATGTATCTGAGTATTCAGAGTGCAAAACTGAGGTCTTAAATTATGGTAAGTGCTTAAACGCTTCCTTTCATAAATGCTGAATACTTGTAATTAAAACAAAAAAAGCACTTCCTGGCTCTTCTAGCAAACCAGGACTATGACTACTTTGTCACAATTCATAAAGGGTAACATAATCATTTTTCCCTCAGTATTCTTAGCAAACTACTATTAGGAGAACTTGCCTCTTCCAAAATTGAGTGTACAAGGTGGTTTACTTTCAGCTTATGTTTCTCTCCTTGCACAGCAGTACGGTTCTGCTATGAATATCTAACCAGATAACTGCCTGTATTTTCCATTTTTCTGTGCCCTTTCTGTACAGAGGTTAATAGTATGTTTTTCAGATTAAAAAAAAAAATCTTCTTAACTATGCCTCTGCCTGCACATATGGAGTTCCTACTTGACTGTAACTGTTTTATGGCAAATTCCCCCCCCCTCAATATTCCTTATTCTTGAAAGCTGAGTTAGGTCATCTAAAATTTTGCTTTATAATTTTAAATTCTATGGATAGGTGGAATGTAAGAACATCTGGTTCATTAAGTTATCTGGTTAAAGAGCATTCATTATAAAAGAAATAAGAAAAAGAGAAACACACACAGATAACACAGACACTAAGGAGCAAGTGGTAAGAGAGAATAATGAAGATGAGAAGGCTTCAGAAACTGATTGATGGAACATTAAAGGAACTGTTCTGGTATAGCCTTGAAGAAGGTCAACCTGAACTTTGGCTAATGAAGGGGGAAAAACACGATCATGATTTGAGGGGGCCTGCAGGATTGTGCAAAACTTAACATAGGAAAGGGACAGCAAAACTTTTAAAGCAGCATAGAGAGGAAAGGATCAGGGTGAACAGGGAGAAACAAGTGTGAGAAAAGGCAGAGGAGGGGGAGGGACTGCTGGTCAGTACACCTGTCCAGGTGAGCACCTGATTATGGCAGTCCATGCTATCTTCTTAAGCAACTTCTTAATGAAAACCATACAGAAAAATGAAGACATCTATAAGATGTATTGCTTTAATACTGCATATTCATAGAAATATTTGTCTTCTGTTTGCACACATCTAATGGAATTCTATTCAACTGATGTTCAGGACCTCATCTTTAATCATTACTATAGTCTCTCTGCACCACCAGGGATGGTATGATTAGCAGATTAAACAAACAACAAAAAAAGGAATTTGCCACAGCCACTTCTATATTGAAAAGAAACTGCTTCCACCCATCATTCGTAGAGTCAAAGGGCACCAAATGTATTGTAAAGGCTAAACACATTCAATGTTCATCTTTAAAAATGATACAAAGAAAGGTAAATTGTATGCAGAATCATGCAGTCTTTCCACATCAATCACAGTAAGCATTTAAACAGTTTCAATTCACACTGGAGTGCCATTGCTGAAACTCAGGTTTGTTACGGATTTCTGTTTTCAGTTACCATTTTCGGTTTTTATCAGTTCTTTGATGATGTGCAAGATCTTGTCATCTAGGAAAGAAAACAGTGGAAAAGAGTGAGCTTAAAATCCCAAAACCCAAGAAAATCAGAAAACAAGTCCAGCTCTCAGCAATTTAATGCTTTAGGCTATGCCAGACTCTAAAGCAAGATAAGCAATTCCCATGTGCAAAGCAAAAAGCAAACGGGATGTCCACAGTACATCATTAGAAAGTTTATAAAATCAGTCAATGAGCTGGTTGTGGCCATTTCAGTATTTCACCAGAGGGACTGAGAAAGTGATGGGTTAACTATGGATACATTAGAATACAGGAACTCTCCTTCTTCCTCATCTACTATATTCCTCTGAACATCCAGTGTTCAAAGTTTAAACTGTGCTCCTCTATCCCTTACTTTAGGGACCAACATACGGCTCCCCATCATCAACCTAAACTGTGAAACAACTTGTGTAACACTTAAAATTCATCCATGCCCAAGCTTCATCACATGCGATCTTCCCTCTGTTTTGAGATGCGTACCTCACCATTACTACCACTACCTTGAACGTTGTTGTTAGGGATAGCTTCGAAACAGCAGTTGTGCAGATCCTTATAAACCTGCGATGAGCCACATAATATATATAAGATTGGTAATGACTTTCTAGATGCCTCTCAAGATAATGGAATGACATTCAAGTCACTTTAACTCTGCTGGGTGAGGATGCAGTGTACCAATGCCTCCTCAGGTTTGTCACAAGGTCTATTTAACAAACAGTAATGTCAGCAATGCAGTAATAAAGTTACCTTCAAGCGACATTTTTGGATTTTCAAGCTTCTTCTTTAAAACAGACTCAATGAGAACTCTCAGCTGTTTAAAAATTACTGCTATCTTTACAGGAGCCTAAAAAGAACAGAGAAGACAAACATTTCCATTACTTTGATACTGTGTACCAAAACATTGATTAAAAGAAGACCTTACATATAAATAAAAGTTTACAACAGAATTCCCGCAAGCAGGATACATATACATAAGCATAACAGATGCAAAGGCTGGGGGGAGTGGAAACCTAGAGGAGTAAACCCCAAGGTCATCCCAGGCTGACCAATTAATACTATTTATACCATCAATGTCACATTCACTACAAATTGGGGAGTTTGCTAGGGATGGATCTTCTTCCTCCTTCTCTGCCTCTTTCTCTTCCTCCCGTTCCTTCTTCTGTGGCTGACATCTCAAGAGGGACTTGTTTACTGTCCTAATCCCGAGGCCTACTCCTCCCCAGTATTGGCTGAGTATAACTCTTTTTATTCCATATTGTAACTTTTATTAGTTTATTATTTTATAAAATATACTTCTACTTTGAGCCACGTATCTCCTTTCCTTTTCCCAACATCCCTCAATGGGTGGGGAGGAGGCACTGGAAGATAGAGCAACTATATAAATCATGGCAGTTTAGTTTTGGCACCCAAAGCAACTTCATATTGGTGCCCAACCTGCTTTAATTCGGCACTCAAGCGTGATTTATTTCCTGCTTAGCGTGATTTATTTGGCACAAAATTCAAATAGCTTACCTGGGAGAAACACAGACTTTTAATCTGGGAATTTCAGAGGGTTGAAGCTTTAACACTTTTGACTGGGTTTGTTAGAAGTATGCATTATTTGAGTTTACTAGTCAGTAACATGATGTCTCACTGGGTTATAAATTTATTACCGTGACTGAATTTTGTACCACGTGTTGTTCTTTTTATGCTGTTTTAGAGTCTGGAGCCTGGATCAAGGTTACGGCTCGGCTGTACTGTTTGATGTGCTTCATCTATGTACAGGTGTTATATTTTGGAGACTGCTGGCAATTTTCTGGGCCAGTCAGACTATAGAGAAGACAGCTCTGGAATTCATTAATAGTTTCATGGATTTTGTGTGCAATTATACTTTTGTTTTGTGTGGTCAGGCTCAGAGGGGGACATTTCCTGGTGGTCTTTCTTTTCCCTGGAAACTAATTTCAACAGTTTTAGGGAATTTTAAGTACCCCCCTTAGAATGTTTCAACTATCACATTCATATTGTTAGTCCTTTTGAATGTTTTCCAGTTTGCGGTCTTGCTCAGAGAAAAATATCAGCATATTTTTAGGTTTTTACCAGGGTTCTTCCATGCCATATCGGGACTTATCTTGGGCCCCATGATAAGCATTGCAGCTGCCTCTGTCCCCTCTCACAGGTACTGTAGTGGCCTTGCCCCCCACCATGGGCGCTCTGTGCCTGCCTCCACCCCCACCACAGCCACCATAACTCCCTCCACCCCCACTGCAAGCACCTTAGCTGCCTCAGCCCCCAGCACAAGCACCTCAGCTTCTTCATCCCCTACAACAAGCACTGCAGCTAGTCTAGAGAATAAATCAGTGCCATCATCTCACTAGTAATTTGGATATCTAAAGCTGAAGCCTTTTCCAGGAATCTTTCATTTTATCCCTCCCTGCTTATTCCAGTCTTTACTTCATTTGTACACTGCTTGTGGTACAGTAAGTAGCTATTATGGAAAAAAATGCAACAGATGCTACGTGGAGTAAAATGGGTCACACTGAAAACTCAGTGACTTTGAATAGGAAACCCTAACTGCCCTGGAATTTTGGAAGTAATTATGGACTGTCCAGAAGGCAAAAATTTTGGAAAACTACCAGAGAAGAAAGTGACGTGAGCTGAAGAGGCCCCACCATATAATAAATTATCAGATAATGATGAACAATATGCCTTTCTCACTGATGGATCTTGTCATATTGTAGGAAAACAGCAAAGGTGAAAAGCTGCTACATGGAGTCCTACACAAGTTGTAGAAGTGACTGAGGGGGAAGGTGAGTCAAGTCAGGTCACAGAAGTGAAAGCCATTCATCTGGCTTTGGACTTGGATGGATATGAAAAGTGGCCCAAGCTTTATCTCTGTACTGACTTACGGATGGTAGCACATGACCTGTAGGGATGGTTAAATCAATGGAAGAAAAAGAAATGACAGCGCAGCAGGAAGCCCATCTGGGCTGCCATGTTGTGGCAAGATACTGCGTCCTGACTAGAGAAGCTTGTTGTAAAGGTATGTCACGTAGATGCTCATGTACCCAAAAGTCATGCCACTGAGCAACATCGAAACAACCATCAGGTGCATAAAGCTGTAAAGACTGAAGTGTCTCAAGCGGACCTGGACTGGCAACATAAAGGTGAACTACTTTTAGCTCGGTGGGCTCATGACACTTCAGGACATCAAGGAAGAGATGCAACACATAAAAGAGCTCATGACCAAGGGGTGGATTCAACCATGGACACTATCTCACAGGTCATCTATGAACATGAAACACGAGCCGCAATTAAACAAGCCAAATGGTTAAAACCTCAAAGATATGGGGGATGGTGGTGTTCAGGCTATAAAGCAAAATAAATAGTACTTTAAAGATAAATACATACTTACATAAGTATAACATTATAGGAAAGGGCAATATAAAACAACACACTCATCTGCTTTCAGTAAACCTAGTTTTATAGAGCTGGTAGTCTATATCCATTTCCAGTACCTTTCTGAAGGAACATCAATTTCTTCATGGAGAGGGAACTGATTTGTTACATGCTGCATATTATAAGCTTATTCTTCTGAGTGTGATTTGCTAAGATTTCACTACATGTATATAAAATTTCCCGTAATTTCCTTTAATTCTCTCCTCCCCTCTTCCCTCTTGTCTTCATCCTATGTATATAGTGTTTTAAATTAAATTTGTACATCAGCTGTATAATACAAAAGCTCAGGGAACCACAAAAGGTAGTCATCACTCTAACCTGAAAATGGATCCAGCCATCAACTGTGAGGAGACGCTCCCGATGTTGGACTTCTATATCCCCACCAAAAAGCAAAATGGGAAAGGGGGATATTAAAGTTGTTTCTCTCAAATACACCTTAGTGTACCTCACCTGCATATAAACAAATACAAGCATTAAAAGCATTCAGATATACCTTACACTGATGCATGTTATTTAATATCAGGGGCATAACTCCACCTTTCCACAAGCTATCAGCTATATTCACTATTTTAACTTACCTTCTCCTGATAAAGAAGCCATCCATGTGTCTGTAAGTCTCGATTTACAGAGGAGGGATGCACTTGTGCTTTACCCTGAGCAGTTTCTACCATGCAAGCCAGCTTCTCTGTAATATCCACAGACTTTGTATATATTATTTTTCCTACGTTGTCATACAGCCCCGCAGTCAATACAGCTTTAAGAAGAGCTCTTTCGTGGAGAGAAAGGGACTGTGTGGCTCCATTTCCATGGCATCCACATTGTGCTGTAGGTGCTGCGAACCCTGCTGCTCTGACGACCCTTATGAGTTCTTGCTTCACATCCTGAAATTAGTGAGATATTAGTAAAACTCTGAATTTAAAAAGGTACATATTTTGCTTCATCAGCAGACAATGGTGCTCCATCCCAAATATTCATGCTTTACGGGGGCAAAAAAAGCTAGTGTTTTTTCTAGCAAGAGATATTTTCTGCAACCACTTTGGAATACTGGTTGTTTTTACGAGAAGAACATTATCTGGAATATATAATTAAATGTATGGTACTATATACACTGCAAACACTAAATCTTTCACACATAGTTAAAATAAAAAGATACATTTGCATCAAATATCCCCCTCTGCGTGGGAGAGCTCGATCACCCAAACTTACATAAGTAAGATCAATTAAAACATCTCACCAAAAATAAGAGGCCACTTACGTAAGTTTGTGACTCTTGTTTCAAACTAATTGTTAACAGACCTGTTCTTTGATATCAAGAGTATGAATTAAAATATGTTGACTATAAGTTCTGACTCTCTGGTAAAAGGACAGACTAGCTTCTCCAATGACAGTGACTACAGAGATGTATTCCAGCAAAGTGTGCATATCAAAACTCAAGTGCCAACACTGCCTTCCAGCTACCCTGACTGAGGGTGTGCATTTCATCAGTACCCAACATTCCACTTGGTTTTGTCTTGTCTAAAATGGTAACTGTGATATATTACCACTTTAAAAAGTCATGGCACCTTCAGAGAGAAATTTTATCAAGTATCTTTTTAGTGCAGAGCATAATTATTTTGTTTACCTCCAGAGTTAAGAGTGAAGTCCTATTAAGGAAATTTCTTCTGCAATAAGTCATTTCAGCACGATAACCTCCTTCTTGTCGAGCCCTTTTCCACCTAAGGAAAACAATCCTGTCTTATTACAGCAAAAGGAATCCCATCAAGCATAAGTCAATAGGGAAGTGGCAGTAAGTTAAGAGGCAATACTGTGCTTTGGTTACCATTCTCCATTCAAAACTAGAAATAAGTGGCATTAGTGAAGATGAATAATTATTGTTTAAGAGCACTCTACAGAACATGCCTGTAGCATAAATCTGACAGGTACTAACAAAAATAGAAGGTAATTTTCTCTCAAAAATTACACACTTCCGAAAGTTGAAACAAAAGTCAGGCTTGGTTTTTCAGACTTAGTGATAATATTCTAAAATGAAAAAAAGTAATTTTATAACATATACTTTTGTACTTTCTCAAATACAAACTATTCAGGTCAGCATACCACAAAGAGCAAAAAAAATACTTTAAAGGCTAGGATGTATGTGTGCAAGCATGGTTAAAAAGGAGTTAAAGGTTAAGATAATATGCAAGCTATCCTTTCGTGCTGTAGTATTTGGCAATTTCTTGTTATTCTCAAGAGGAAAAAGATCAGGTGCAAGCAATTTAGGAGAAGACACTTATTAAGGATTCTTTACAGAACCTTTACTTGGGTGTTATCTGCATCTAGCTATAAGGAAAACTATTTACCCCAGATAAGCATTGTAGATTGTTATATGGTCTGAAACTGCCATTGCTAGAGATGATTTTGCAAGATCTGCTTCATCTTTTCGACCAATTGGTGTAGTAAATGGAGATTTTTCTGTCATAACAGCAGCCAGAGTTGCCTGTAATTAGTAAAGTACATACAGTAAAACACTCCTAAGTATGCAGGTTTATCATAGAAACAACTTTTAATTATCTTTTACAGTAATATTTACCGATACTTTTTTATTTTCTATTAAGTCTCAAGGAAAATTTACCACCATAAAAGTTTCCTACAGAGTTCAGAACTTACTTATGTTAAAGACATTACTTACATAGCACCTTATATAACAAAAATATTAAATCTCAAAACTCACATGAAACAGTTTGTAAAATGACAGAGCAAGGCCTGATACTGAAGGTCTGATTAAACAACTGCTTTAGATTATATCACATTAGCAGGAGATACTGAGACAATAATTTTAACTTCCAGTTTTCAGCAACTGACAACACACTAGGAGGAAGGATGGGTAGATTAAATGGATTAGGCAAAAGTATAAACTATGCCACAGTCTTCATATAGTAAGTTACCACATCAATTAATTTGCAGCAACTTTACATCAGCATGTTCCTGGCACACAGACTGTGGGGTAATCCAGGTTGGTCTAACCCACATGTAAGAGGGCTTTTTCTGTATGTGTCATACTCCGTGGGATCACAACAGACAGAACTGGAGACCAAGTCTGACTATCCTCCTGTGAAGAGTACCTCGGAGTTTAGAATCATAGAATCATTTAGGTTGGAAAAGACCTTTAAGATCATCGAGACCAGCCATAAAGAACACTTACGACCATTGCCCTCCATGATGGCCAGGCACCCTCAACTTAAAATAAATATTTCAACTTCTTGCACCATCCTTTCAACATACCATGTTGCAAAACAGCAGATTAATTGTAAAGAGTTAATAATTTCTACAAATTTTTAAAATTTATATCTAAATTTGTGTTGTTAGTTTGTTGGGTTTGAGTTTGGTTCTGTTTGTTTGTTTCATTTTTTAACTCACCACAGGATCCAAGCAGCCAAATATAGCACCAAATACAAGCATTTTTCCAATCTTTACATTGACAGGAAGGGCTGCAAGGTGCTGGCCCAACGGAGTCAGCTTGGGCTCATTTAATTGACAAGCCCCAATCTTCCTCAACAGGTTCATTGCATTACCAATTACTTGCTGCTGAGGTGGGTCTAATGCTCTGGAAAGGAAATCTTCAGGGGAGCCAAGACTGCATTTCTGTGAAGTGAATGGGCATATATTTCAATATGAACATTTAATATAACAAACTTCTATGGTAGCTACAAAAGAAACTGGAAAGCTGTTCTTGCAATCAAACACCCACATTCCTGTCTCTCTGAAGCAGCCTGTTAGTTCTGAGAACACAGACACACCCCACATTATGTTAACAAACTTCACTGTTTGCAAGGACTTTGTAGGGCACAATAACCGATCAGTGAAGAATGTTACCAATGGCCACAGATGTGCAGGAGACTCAAACCTCATGAGGTGCAGTTCAACCTGGCACTAGTTTGCCAGTCTGCTAGTTTTGCCATGCATATCCTACTTGGGGAGAGAGGCAATGGAATTGCTTCCCTAAGCAGAAATCAGTTTGAAGACTATTTAACAAAGTTTGAATTGTCACACTGCAGTAAACTAGAATATTATATTATGCTATTCTCACTCAGCAGCATGGTCTGAATTTTTCACAACACACAGGTACTGGGTTCCCCTCTGCTTTTCTGGGAGAAGCCCCACTAACTACATTGGATTAGGGCTGTCCTAGAAAGTCTTTTTAGCTAAAAAAGTCAGTAATTCCAGAGCCAAAAAATCACACAATAGCATGAAGGTGTAATTCTTTTTCTAAGGTACATGCGTTAGTTTTAGCTAACGAAGTCAACACTTGTAAAACCAAACCCATACCATAATATGAAGGCATAATTCCTCCAAAGGCACACGCAATATTTCTGGAACAGAATATTCCATGAAACTTTCAAACCTGTAACATCATAAAAACATAGAATCACAGATATTCCATTTGATCTTTCAATTCAAGTTATAAACTCAGGTTTCACATGTTCATTCTTTGCAGACTTTCTTTTGAGGGGCAAGGGATGGGGAGTGCTATGTGTTTTAATGCATGGGTAAACTGTTCATCCTTTGAATTAAGGTATGTGCAGGAAAACAATAGTAAAACTGGGACTTAGTGAAAGCGAGAGAAAGGCAGTAAGACCCTGGTTTTCAAAACAAAATTCTTAAAATGCACAGCTCAAACTGAACATTTTGCATGTGGCTACAAGGCACACTTCATTTGTTATTTCAAAATACTTTAACTGTTTCTCAGCTGCAAGTTTCTTCAGATTTTTAGACAAGCAGTAAAAAAGGTTATTCCATTGTAGTAACGGAAACTAATTCTGCAGTGCTGTATAATTTTATACTTTCCCCATCTTTTATCCATATAGATACGACTTCAGAAACCTACAGATTTGTCTGATAAAAATTTCAAAGTTCAGGATATAAGGTTTGTGTATATTTAATGCAGGGTAATAGATATAGTTAAAACCTGATATTTTACAATTCCTTGGTGCTGCACTTTTCCTTTTATCATGATTTGTTTTTTCAAAACACGTAACATTACAGAGGTACTAAGAATAAAATTAACTTTTTAAAATGGTGAAATAAAAAGACTAACACTTTATTCATACAACATTCAAATTGATGTTTCATTTGGTTTTGGTTTTTTTTTTGTTTGTTTGCTGTTGTTGTTTGTTGTTTTTGTTTAGTTTGTTGGGTTTTTTGTTGTTGTTTGGTTGTTGGTTTTTTTGGCTGGTTGTTTTTTTTACTGTTTAATCTTTCCAGTTTGCAGTAATTAGTGAATTTCAACAAGACTTCTTGGTGTTGCACAGAAAAAAGATGAAGATACTTATGTGATTTACAAAGTCTTGCTAATTAAGTTTACAGTACCTTTCTCTTGTGTACATTCGGAAGCAGAATCCATCCCTAACACGCCCAGCTCTTCCTTGTCGTTGCAGAGCACTAGCTTTACTAACAAAGGTCTCCTCCAAGGAGCTCATCTGACTACTTTCGTGATACCTTAAAAATCACAAACCATGTATCCACTCAGATTTCAGAATGAAAATTTTAACGTATACTTTACTTAAATATCAGTGTATTCATAATACAGCTAAATAGTAGTTATTTGAAAATACTATATTTAGCCTTGAAAAATTAGCATACCTGGGGGAAACTGTACATCACATAACCTTGGATACAACTCACTAATGAAAGTGTGAGAAAGAGACCTAGTGTATTACTCCATCTCCCTGGCAATTCAGAATTGTTCTAACACATTCTACAGGGTTTTTCACATTTAAAATGGACAAAACATAACTTCTAAAAACAGAAATAGTATAATAAGAATTGTCTTTATTTTTAAACTAGAATTATGATTCTCCATGTCTATGAACAACTCTTTGTTGTTCTTTACACCATTTGAAAATCCAATGAGTCATCCCAAACTTGTACCTAAACTGCAAGTTGTTCAATGAGCTCAGCACAATTTTTTTTTTGTCCAGAACTATAGTTTAACAAGGATACCACAAAATTCTTGCAGTACTAGGACCCAAATATTTACAGTAATCACAGTATGACTGATGAAAATCACTCTCACCTGTTTTCCTTTGTTCTCCCAGTATCAATTACAAAAACAACATCTGGTATCGTAATACCTGTCTCTGCTATATTGGTTGCCAAAACAATCTGAAAAGAAGTAACATAATATAAATAAAAGAATTATGGAATGTCTGTCTAACAGCTTTCATCCCTTTTGATCAATATTATAGAATAAGTTTGGTTAAAGTTTTTTACTCAGAAATGTTTCCTTAAATAGTCTGACAAAACATTAAAAGCTACATGACTTGCAAAACAGTGTAGTCTTCCCCTATTATTGAGGAATCAAAAATTAAGTGCGAATTTCACATTCACTTTTTGTTTTATAATTCATCAAAATTAGCAGGTAGTATCTGCAAAAATTGGTCAACTTTTAATTAAACAGTTTGGCAGTAAGTAAAATACTCTTTTTCTAAATAAAAGCTATAGCTACTGGTTCAAAATTAGCTGAAATACAGGAAAGGAATAATTAAAGAAGCACTTTGAAAAATATTAGATTTAAAATTTGTCTGATTATTGTCAAGGTTTTCATAGCAAGTTAGCTTCTATCTGTTACAGAGCACCAAATTAGAAGAATTATGTCTCTGAAATGAGAAAGTTCCAGGAACAACTGGTTACTGGGTAATTCTGTATGATTTGATTTTAAAACAATTCAGAGTTGCACCCACAGAAGTTTCTCCTTTCAGTGGTGAACTTTGCCTTTTGAAATACATCATACCTTTCTAATACCAAGAGGAGGTATTGTAAATGCAGCTGCTTGATCTTGAGTTGAAAGAACAGAATGCAAAGCTATCAGCCTGTGTCTAAAACAAGAAATTACACTGATCAATACACACTTATCAAATTAAGGTACAGTAAACACAGTTTGGAGAAAGCAAATAGAATGGACACCTGAAAGAGTAAAATTCTGTATGATTAGGTATGAAAATCTGCTTCAGTGTATTATTACAATATCAAGAAATTATAACATTAGTTCACAGGGCTGTTGTATTTGGCAATAATGTGGAGAAATTCTACTGCTGGAGAACTCTAAGTTAACTTATGTCAATAGCCTAGCAAAAAGGGAACTAAGTGTTCATGAACCAGACTTCTTTACATTGTGCTCCAAGACAATGACCACTATTGAAACTTTGCACAGAACTATAAACACGTGTAACTTTCAGCCTAAGTAATAAAGGCCTTCAGAGATGAGAGCGCCGCAGAGTTCTGTACTTTCCTTCTCTTCTAGACCTTGACATCTCAGTTCATCTATGAATCTTTAGAATTTGATGTCATATATTCTTTTTACATCATCATGTTCCTAACTTTGTTACCCACAAAATAAATTTCAAACCTATCGGTCACTACAACCATATGCCAATTTATCTCAGTAGATTACTGTCTCTGGATCTCTTCTCAGGAAGTAATCACTTCCATGTAAACAGTAAGCCACAGAAAGCTATATCCCAGCTATGGCAGCTTCCATACCCTAAGAAGTGGAAAAGAAGTAGTCAAGTGCTTTGTGATTAAGTAGGTTTGTTGAAAAATAAAACTGAAAGAAAAAAAAGTCATTACTGTACAATTCATAAGCACCTGTTATTTTTGCTTTTATCATTTTTTAGGTAATAAAATTATATTTGCAGCATAAACAGCTCAGAGGTATGACTCTCACCTTCCCTTTTCAAGAACAGCAGACTTTAAAACCCAAACATAGCCATTAAGGTAATCTATTAACTTTCTAGGAAATATCTGCATTACCTGTCACGCAAATTAAATCTTCTGTCAGTTGAAATGGCATCATACAGCTGTTGGATATGGGCAAGGCCTGGTAAAAAGATCAGCACAGCACCCTCAACATTCTTGAACTGGGGACTTCTATCTGGAAAGTTACAGTACGGGCACATAGTTAAACATTCATATGTAAACGGTTTCACTTGAGAACAGGAACTAATTCTGGGTGCTGTGGTAAATATGTTTTTTAGGATGTTTCATATAAGAATGTAGTTAAATACTTCATTATCAGTAGAAAGAACTGGAAAGTAAGTCCAAAGGACAACCCCAAGTATACAAACTTCTTAAGAAGCAGACCATACCTAAGTATGCAAGCAACTCCAAAATAAGTTCAAGGTTGATCTTGTAAGGGTTCATATAGAAGATAGCTTGCTGTGTATGACTGCTATACTTCGCATAGTAAGGAGCCAAATCAATACCAGATCCAGACTGGATTGGGAGATGTTCCTAAAAGACATAAGCAGGGAAAAAAAAAATCTTATTCTGTATTTTAGAAGGTAAGAAAGCAGAAGGTCAATGTGTCATTCTATTGATTTAGATTTCTTAAAACAAAGATTGAGACATTTAATTTACTAACTTCCCAACAAAATTATTTGAGAGAAAACACTTAAATGCTTTCCTTTGATGCTGCTTATGGATGGGAATCTACACAAGAGAACTGAATGTCAAACATCGCAATATCAAGACAGCTATAAAGCAGCTGGAGAGACAAACATAAGGGTGCAGCATTAATAAGTATTTGGTTACCACTGTAGGAGTACCATTGAGGCTGTTTTTATATTACACAATCTAAGACCATTTAATAAGAGGAATTAAAATGATAAAACAACAAAAACCAAAATTTCCAAACCAAGATTAGAAATTACTGTTTTACCTGATACTTTGTAGTGCCTCCTCCTTTGCTAGTAATATTTATTGTTACTTCCTCCTCCTCCTCCTCCTCCAAGAACTTCTGACAATATTCTGAGTCTTTCTCCAGAATATAGCCAGTTGCTTCAACTACATCTTCAACATGGAAAACCTTCAGTGAAAATTCACAGAAGAAATACAAGGCATGTAAAAAATAATCAGCACCTTTTTGTTCTTTTAAAGCTTAAATATAAAAGCTGATTCCCTTTTAATAGATCTTGCAAATTTCATCCTTGTATTTAAGATTTTTGAAAACCTAAACTTTGAGCTACTATAAGTTTGTTAATGGGCCTCCCCACATAATCACTAACATCACCTTTACCATAGCCTATATAACATACATGAGTAACACATGTAAGTGTGTAATGACAAAGCTGCATGGAGGGGTGTGGGGAATTCTTTAATGCTTTCTGCCTAGGTTAAATAGCGAAAAATCAATGTGCCACTAATGAACTGATTTTAATCAATAATAAAACCATCAGGAAAAAATAGTACAATCCTGTATTTCAAAGTATTGAAGATATTTTATATTTTCAGAAAGGAAAAGGGTTAAAAGTCCTTGAAACAGACATTAAGATATTTATTTTTAGTAAGAAAAAAAATTATGTATTTCCTGTAGACTCTATCTGGGCAAGCACTGTGTACATGCATACAAAGTGTCTTGCCTAATCAAGCATTTACCTACCTCAACAGGGTAACTTCTACCCGAGATCCTTAAAACAGGACAGTGTGAGAAAAAGGTAGAAAACTTCTCACTGTCTACAGTAGCACTCATTAAAATCAGATGCAGGTCTGAACGTTTATGCAAGATCTCCTTGAGAATAACTAGCAAGAAATCAGACTGAACACTTCTTTCATGTACCTAGAATTAGGAAAAGATATCTATAGTAAGGCTTTAGTACAAGTCAAGGCCCAGAATAATTATAGTTTCTGCAGAACAGTAAGATCTGCTAACCTCATCTACAATGACATGAGATATACTTGAAAGAAGACCATCTTCTTGGAGTTTCCGAAGCAGGACACCTGTTGTGCAGTACAGTAGTCTCGTGGCTTCTCCTGTTCTTGATTCCATACGAATTTGATAGCCGCACAGGGAATTCTTTTAAAAATATATTAAAAATACAGAAGTAACTTCATAATATACAAGCTAAAGACATTCAAAACAAAGTGAATTTAAGGACTGTTAGATTCAGACATTGCACAAGTTGCTAATTAAGTAGTATGGTGAATGAGTACCACAGTTTTTCCATACATGTACTTTCCTTCGTTAAGAAAGGGAAAATACCCAAAGAATTTACAACTCAGTTACTCCAGAGTAGCAAAGAGCTGGTAAACTCAGTGTTCTTTTCAGGCTTCTTTGCAGTCCTCGAACAAAAGCATTTCTGCACAAATAGACTACTATAAAACATACACAACCTTGGTTTGCTTCAAATAACAGAGTACCTTATGTTGGAAGGTGCCCCTCTGAAAGCAGGGCCTCACTTAAGGACAGAGGGGATTGGGTAGAGCCTTAGCCAGGGTAATTTTCTCCATCCCTAATGGCAGAGATGCCACAGAATCTGGGCAATCTGATCTAATGTTTAATCATCCCCATTATGAAACCACCCTCTAAAGATTTTTGAAATCGTATACTGACACCTAGAGGCTGAAAGGTGACAATTTTGAAAGAAACAGCTGACACAGCAAGAAGCCCTTTTCCAGAGAAAAGAATATCCAATTATTTGTTTTCACTTTGTTTTCACAGGGGGCACAACACAGCCCCCTGTATTTGATCAAGACTAGAAAAAGTAATTCAGATGCATCTTACCTTTCCTCCCGGTCCTGATTCGCAGCCTAGCTCTTCACAAACCCTGGTCGCCAGACTCACGGCTGAGATTCTTCGGGGTTGTGTGCAGACAATATTACATTTATTTGATCCTTCATCTAGCAACAAGTCTTCTAACAAGAAATGGGGCACCTGGGTACTCTTCCCACTGCCTGTTTCACCAGCCACAACAACTACTCGATGTTTTTTCAGAGTTTCTACAATTGAGTATCTGTACTTAAAAACAGGTAACTCTTGCCTCTCTTTCAGAAGCTTCTGGTATTTGGAGGAACTTTGCAGCTTTTTGAACAAAATCCTTGAAGGTTCCAAATTATCTGCCTCTGAAGCCTCAAGGGAGAGACTGCTGAAGTCCTCATCAGAAATTAAGTTTTCCCAGGAATCTTCAGGACCCTCAGATACTTTTGGTTGGTTTTTGGATTGTAGTTGTTGCTGTTGTTTGAGTTTGTTTAATAATCTAGCAATAAAGTTATCACGAGGTTTGTTGGTTTCTATCTTGTTTTCTTCTTCCTTTTTCTTTTCAATATCCCTCCATTCTAGCCAGACATCTCGATAGGTAGGAGGCAGCAACTGATGAACTGACTTCAAGTGGAAAAAGCAAAAAAACCCTATTTTATGTACTGCTTAGTAATACCACTAAAGCTTTGTAAATGTGAATTTGAGTGTCAAAAGAAAAAACAAAACATGAAATATGGAGCTCTTTCTAAATACAGAAACTATGAAAACGGTACTTTAAATGTCAACAATACACTTAATATTTTCAACTGGCTTTCATTCTTCACAACACTGATAGAACAGTTTTGCTACCAAAAATGTCCTCCTTGTATGCAAAAGATAAAAGCAAATGACACAAGCAAAGACTCGGAAGCATTTCATTAAACTGTTTTTAGAATTTAACTACAGATACTAAAAGAAACAAGTACAGACAGAGATTCCAGGCTAAGAACAGCAGTATCTGTGAAAATCTTACTTGTCCTTTGGTTAAATGATAGAGTGACAAAGTAGCAGCCAGATGTTGTGCTTGCATACTATCTTCTGTTACGATTGTAGGACACATTGTCATTACATCATCTGACGATTTGGTAATCCTGACCCTTAAAGACAAATACAGGCATTTCTCTTAATTTTTGTTACCTATATAAATAGCACACCTGTTATTGTTTTTCTTTAAAATGTACAAGTGAAATTCAAACTGAGAAACTAAGCTAAATAAACTTGTTAATAGTATTCTGTAAACAGAAACAGCTGATAAAGTTTAACTAAATAGCAGAAAATTTTCAGCAGCAGATTTCAGCAGTGAATTTGTGATCAATTTTTTTTTCTCTTACCAAATTTCCTCATTTCTTTCAAAGCAGAAATTTTTATACACATACAGATCACCGCTGAGGTTAGTTGCTTTGGAAGAAGGACTAAGTACTTCTTTGTGTGCTTGTAACTACTTCATATAGTATGAGATGACAGATAATTATCTGCTGAGATGCAAACAGGTGCTTAGCAGATTCATGCCAGTCAGACCAGCAGTCCAATTTCTCATATTCTTAGGGAGACAGTATATTACCAGTTTTTAATTTGAGCAAGAAGACAGGTTCTTTTACATGGTTCTTTCAAGAAGCATTACTCATTTGTAATGCCGTATCTACTTCACTTGTATGTGGCAATACTCTGCTTTATATCCACTGTATTATAGACTCATTTTCAAAAAGAAACTTTCAAAAAAAAAATCACTAATACTGCACTGTTTTGGTTACAAGCTTATGCTAGATTTCATACAAATTTATAGCTTCCACTTTATTTTTAACATTCCCCAAAGGGGTTTAGGTTTTAAGCATATGAATACCAATGACTTAATGACTTGGAATGAGACAACTAGAAGCTAATTGTCCAAATATATCTCACAGGTTCACTTCAGAACCTTTCATTCAGACATAGAGAAATAAAAACCAATCCCTTCCTTACAGGATCATTCACTAGAATCTTATTTTTACAACAGAGTCCACTCTAAGCATTACTTTAGCAAAGCTACCCAGAGTGAAATACTTCCCTTGTGAAGTTAAATATACTGTATGCATGTAAACCTGGATCAACATAACAAGACAGAAGTAGCAAGCATTTATATTTTTAAATGAGCCAAAATGAAAGTGTAAAGTTTACAGGAATTACATACCTACATTTCCAGTATTTTCCAACTGGAACCTTTTCAAAAGTAGGATTTGGACTCTTCGGGAAATTCTTCCTGCACCAGTCAATCAAAAATTGTTTCGGAGATTTACCAGTCCAGCTTCGAGCACTATAATCAAAGTTTCTTATATCTAGTGGTTCTTTCTTTTTCACTACAGCAGCAGAAAAACACATTTTAAGTCTCTTAAAACTTATCTTACATTCCTTTGATAGCCAAGAACATTTTTAGTAAAAATACATTTGAAGAAAAGGTAGAGAGTAGTATTTCCTGAGATGTTTTGCAGTAACAATGGTATTGATATATGACAGAAATTCCTGCTTTGCCCACAGAAGTATCTGGCAGGAAATTAATTACAATTTTTTATAATCTTTCATCATCCAATAATTTAAGAAATTTCACAGAATTTTGGTTATTAGAAAATAATGTAACAGTTTTAAGGTTTAAAATAAAAATAGTTAAAGGAGCTAAGAGGGTGACAATGGAAACAATAACTGGCCCTACAATTAAAAAAAAAAATCAATCAAAATTTTAGACATTACAGTATGGCTAAAATAGCTTTCAGTATCATCTGCTAAAACAAATACAGATCTTTTAAAGTCAGACTGGTCTGCAAGATAGTCCACCTGCAATCAGAGCTTGATGACTTAGCACTGCAATAAAATACAACCTAGAAAAAACAAGAATTAATATTGGAAGTGTGTGGTACACTTCAAGCTCATACTGAAATGATTTCCAACACACCTTTGTCTTCCTTTGCAGCACCGTCAGGTTTTTCAAGCAAGTTCAAATTCAAAGTGGTTTCTTGAGGCTGAGATGAGGGAGTTTTCTTCTTTTCATTTTGTTGCTGGTTTGAAACCTTTGTAGTTGGATTAAATACTGGATGTTCTTCAAGTATTGCCATTTCTGTCAAAGAGAGAATACAAGTTACACCCACCATTTGCTGAGCATTCTTCAAAACGAAAAGTCGAGGGAGGCTTCCCTCCCTCTTTACTCTGCCCTGGTGACACCGCATTTGGAATACTGTGTCCAGTTCTGGGCCCCTCAGTTCAAGAAGGACAGGGAATTGCTTGAAAGAGTCCAGCGCAGAGCCACAGAGATGATTGAAGGAGTGGAGCATCTCCCTTCTGAGGAGCGGCTGAGGGAGCTGGGTCTCTTTAGCTTGGAGAAGAGGAGACTGAGGGGTGACCTCATTCATGTTTATAAATTTGTAAAGGGCGAGTGTCAGGAGGAAGGAGCCAGGCTCTTCTCAGTGACAGCCAATGACAGGACAAGGGGCAGTGGGTGCAAACTGGAGCATAGGAGGTTCAGTCCGAACATGAGGAAAAACTTTTTCACTGTGAAGGTGACAGAGCACTGAACAGGCTGCCCAGAGAGGTTGTGGAGTCTCCTTCTCTGGAGACATTAAAAGCCTGCCTGGACGTGTTCCTGTGTGATCTAGTCTAGGTGATCCTGCTCTGGCAGGGGGGTTGGACTGGATGATCTTTCGATGTCCCTTCCAACTCCTAACATTTGTGATTTTGTGAAAAGATCAATTATATTAATTAATATTGATGAATTCATATTAATATGATATGAATTCATATTGATTAACATTAATTCATATGGATGAATTAATATCAAATAATAATTAATAAATTAATAAAAATTAAAAACAGATGCAGTGAAACATTACTGGCTTTTTAGAACTTGACCCACATGAAAAGGACAGATTTAGGAAAGCTTGCATACAGTACATAAAAGATGATGAAACAAATTCAATTTGTTTCAAGAGCTATTAGCAAAACAAATATGCAGGTCACAAAATAAAACACAGGTAATTTGCATAGCTGTACCTTGCTGAATTCTTCTTATTTTCTCCTGTGCTACCTTCTGGCCTTGCTTGTCTTTATCTTGCTTGGAGATACTTGCTTGTTCTTTTGCTTCTGAAAGCTTGGCAGCCAGATGTATATACCTCTCATTCTATTTCAAGCAGAATTATTAATTACAAGTTGAATATTGTATAGTTGTCACTTTAAATGAACTTCATAATACAAAAAGCGAGGGGTTTTGTTCTTTATACGAAGCTTACACAACAGAGGAATCATTAGTTTTTATATAGCTAAGTCAGAACACCTCAGAATTTGACAGTCACATTCCTAATCTCATTGAGATGCATTTCAATAATTTCTCCTTTCCAAGATAATGCATTCAGCATTTTAAGTACAGTACAAAAACACAGGAAAAGAAAAACAACTCAGGAAAGGAGCAGTTTAAGCACATTTTCCCCTCAGTAGCGTATAAATGTAAAAACATAATTAAAAAGTACTCAACCCCCAATTTTTAACAAATAGATCCACCACTTGCAGATATGACAGATATATCAGTCTTTGAAAGACTTCCATGAAGTGTTATTCTGTCTTACTGGGTCAAACTTTTCTTCATCTGTCTCTTTCAGAGACTCGTTCTCTTCATCACTCTGTTGCTCAGCGTATCGCAAGATCCATTCCTTCATACTCACTTCTTTCTCTTTCTCCACATTTGTCTCCTAGGAAGACCAATGGAAAAGTAGAAGTAATGATAACACTGAAAACACCAATGATTTTCTCTGTAAGTATTTAGGAGCTACTGCTTAAGATTTTACATATAAACTATGTCATATGACATAAATACCACAAAAACCCATGGAGTAAACTTCTCCAACCAAGGGAAACATCTCAATATGTACTTACATAGATCTTAACACCCGAATGATTATAACTGCTGTAAGAAAAAAACAAATACTTTTGCAAGAAATTTTTTATTTCTAGGTTTAAAATTCAATAACCACAGAAATTGGAACACTGCAAGTATGCAAGCAAACTTAAGCCCACACAAGTATGTAAAGAGCATCACCTATAAACAAACAACATGAATCATTACAGAAGAAAATTAAGCTATGTTTTATCACAAAAAAGAACCACAAAAAGACTTCAAGATTTCACATAAAAAAAAACCTTCAAATGACCATTCAACTGAAGTTAAAATAATGTGGGTGACAGTTCTTAAGTACATCATATTTTCAGAAGTTTTTCACATCAGTGTTGGATGTGAAACACAAATTTTGTATTTTAGAAAGCACTGTACTCTCTTCCACCCAGCAGATACGAATGAATTTCTCAGATTACCTTGGTTTCAGGGCCTTTTTCTTTCTTTTTATCTACTAAGCGAGGTGGAGGTTCACGCTGTGACACAGGAGAACAAAATTTTGCTCTAGGTTTCTGTTGCTGTTCTTCAAACTGCTGGCTAAAGCCTTCAGGCAAGGCATCTTCAAAATAAAAAACCCATGTTAAAGAATATGTCAGTAATAATTACTGACAAATCTTTTAAAGTGTGTTGGGAGCCAACTACAAGAACATAAACCAGAAAGTGCATGCCTGAAATAAAATTGCCTTTAGCATATAGATACATCAGTATTTGCTTGTTGGACTTCCATAAAACTCCAAGAGTAGGAATAAGAGGTCTACAAGACTTTACACATTTAAAAATATCCCAAAACCAGTGAGCAGCGCATCTAAGAAAGGAACGCTGTGATGACCACCAGTCTTAGTGAAACATTATATTAATTATTACTACAAAGCATTCCCATGCCAGGTCCTATCACTCTTCTGCTAAAAACTGTAGTAAATTCTCTGTCTTGCGTACTCACCATCAGGAAGGTTTAAACAAAGCCAATCAAGTGCAGAATGAAGATCACCACCATGTAAAAGCGTATTTTTCATTGCTTCCTCAATGTGCTCAGTCTTAAAAGAGAATCTTTGCAAAGCCATGTATACATTCTATAAATAAAAAAGTTAGAAAATCTTAGTATTTCATCTAGCAATCTAATATAGGCATGTAAACTCCTATTTCTCACATGTCAGATAACTGGCATTAAATGGAAGTAAACAGCATAAATTAATATACTGGAAGGCTAAACAGAAAATCCTGTTTTGTATACAGAACTTATAATAATTTTACTGTAAATATGTATGCATATATATAAATAAATCTACATTCCAGCCTCTATACAGAACATATTTTCTACTTAGAAAGGTAAATCTACAATTTTCCAGCTTTGTGCAACAAAAAATTCAGGAAACAAAACATTCAGATTAAATTCTCTTCCTCTATTCTGTCTGAAGGCTCCAATTTTAATTATTGAATGCATAAAGACATACCTTTGCTAGTAAGCATACTTGTAGATATTACTGACTAATCATTAATGTAACTGCTGGAAAGCATGCTACACTGGCCTGTACTACATTATATGAATTAAAATAAAGAAAACTGTTTATTCTAAATAAACAGTGGTCAGAGAACAACACTTTAAACGCTACCTGCAGTTTCTTAGCAGTAAGCCTTTTGGAAATCATTCCTTTGTCTTCATTTTGTTTTTTATGGTCATTGATTACATCAATAATCCTCTTCTCCAAATTACCATTTATCATAACCTGCACAGAGAAAGTTAGCTGATATAAAGCAAAACATTACAAATTTGTATGACTTATCAATGCTCTTCACAGCTAAGAAAAGAATGCAGAAATCTCTCTGCCATCCAAATCCCAAATACTCCAGCTTTCTATAAGTGCAATAAACATTTCTCATGAAGGGGACCTTTTTTTTTTTCTTTTTACTTTTGCAAGCTAAACACCTTTACTAGAAACAGAAGAGTTCATTCCTTATTACAGGGAAGGCTAATTTACATCTTCAAGGAAACTTCATATGTCAAGGGAAATACTGTGAGGAAATAATAATAATAAAAAAAATTCTACCAGAGAACAAAGCCTTTCTCTTCTGCTTACAAGAACTGGTATAAAATAATTTGGTCATCAAGATACAATCTGTGGCACTCTCCATCCTACATGTAGCTGTGCTGTACTTATTGATGGCTGAGGCTAAACCACAACACTGGCTTAAAAATATAATTAAAATAATAATTTTAGTATTTTTAACATTTCTAAAACATGAACCAAGCTTTTATTGCTACTCAGGTTGTTGCATAAAATCTGTATTCTTCCTTTGACAGGACAAAAAATCCATGTGCAGAACAGTAGCCCAAACATAACTCTCAATTGCCCTGAATAAAATATAACACTTCTTATGTACTTAGACATTTCCTGCCATGTCAGTTTACCCCTGTTTCTTAAAGCACACTTGAAATTCCAAAAACATCAAGCTCAAGACAACCAATGTCTAATACATAAATGCAGTTTACTTGCATAGCAGTAATAGTGAAGAACAGCTGAGAAAATATTTACTCATCTAATAGAGTACTACAAAAACCAAAGTTCTTTTACCTAAAGAAGATACTCACCTTAAGAACAGATTTATCTAGATTTGTAGCAGCACTGGAATCTGTTGCTGAACCAAAACTGTAAGTTTTTGGACCTGCAAATTAAAAATAATGCTCAATTACATGAGCAGAACAAAGAAAACATTGTTTACAGAAGCTAAAGCAGACACAACATAACACAGGTTAGTGCAAGCGAATATTACACTAAATTGCCAGAAACATGCAAGTATATAACAACAACAAAAATAATCCACCATACAGAAAGGCACTTGAACAAGGAAATGTAAAGAAGGGTATGACTCCTAGCAAACAAAATATGAAATTCCAGGTGGCACAATGAGAGGAAACGGGATTGACTGCTCTCTCTCAACATTGGAATAAAGAATGGCAAACCGAGAAGCTAATTGCAAGTTCAAAACAAGACTGCTGAGCTTTTTTTAATACAAATTGCATAGCTACATAACAGAACTTTTTGTCACTACAGCTGTGGATACTGGATGTTTACCTAAATACAAGGGTAGACAGAACAGCTATATACTAAAGAAATCAATCAATCTGGGAAAGCATTGATAAAACATTGCATCTGGCTCAGGAAGACTCTAAGTCACAACTGGTGGAGGATGTAAGAGTACCCTATAGAAGTATCACTGGCATGTCTGACCTACTCTTACTTAGGTACCTGCTTTTGACTACTTTCTAGGAGAGGGCTCTGGCCTTCTCATTTTTAGATCCGGACTGGGTGTAGGTAAAAGTATTTCAGAAAAAGAGCGGTCACCTCTGGTCAGGAGCTCCAAAGAGCAGTTAGAACTCACAAGCTAATTACTGGCACTTACTAGTAGGCTGTGTAACTACTCAGTGTTTAGAATATACTAATTTACTTTTCACTTACACTGACTTATTTTTCACCACAGTAGACAACCTGGGAAACAAGCAGGATAGTTTCTGAAGAGGACTGAGCACCATGGTGTTGGAGAAGCAGGAGTGACTAGAAATACACTTAACAGAGCCTGAATTTTTAAAAACAGAATACATTAATAGGTTCAGGAAGATTAAGTTTATGGATTACAAGATTTTGTGTTAACAAGTTGAAATCTCAGATGGCCTGGCCATTACACAATTTGCTTACAGTTTGCAACACAAGCTGTTACTGATGTTGTAAGGTATCTGAGCTACTTCTGGTAAAGCTGTTTTATTGGAAACAGACATCTCACAGTGCTGCAGAATACGAGTTTTTCAGGCTGCACCCATAACAGTCATCACTCTGTTCATCCAACACTGCTGGAGTACCTCCAGCCCTGGACTTTTTCATGACACACACAAAAATATCCCAAACATGTATTACATTGTTTTTGAGCACATATGGAATTAACATCTATAAAAGAAACTTGATACTGGGAAAATGCCATGCTAACTCTTGCTCCACAAGAACTGTCAATAATCTAATAACAGACTTTTTGTAACTAACTCAAAACATCGATGCCGACAAGGCTTATCTGTTCAGGGACACCTGAGAAAGTGAGACAAATCAAAGCCAGGCCTGATCAACCCCGTGTCGGAGGGATTTAAGGTGACCCTCCAGACGCTCCGTAACGCCCAACCTTTCAGCAGGCCTTTTCCCGTAACGCCAAGCTCCGCTG